ATCTCCTTATACGTGAAATTTCAGTCATTAAAACTACAGAAGACAACTATGGTGTTAGTGAAATTTGGCTGCTAATATGACCTCATTTGTATCTATAGGTTAATGAGTACTGTGGAAGTATATATAAAAGATTTCATTAGTTACCGGCCCTGCTCTTTTTCTTCACCCAATTCAAGACCTCCCTCAATCTTGAGTGATTTTGGGGTTATCTTCTCCATATAGGCTAGACAGATTGCACAATTCTTTGGACTTTCGGGTCTCGGGACTTACCCTGATCCCCACCCTTTCCTAATGTGGGATAAGTTATATCCTGAAACCAAGGTCAGAGTCATCTGAATTCTTCATTGGACATCTATGTGCCAGACACCATGCTAGGTTCTGGATGTAGTCACTGACCTAAAAGACTAAGATCAACAGATGATAAAGATTAGATTAGTTGCAGTGTAGTTAAGTGCTATGTTGTTGTTGTTAAGTGCTGTCGAATCGGTTCTGATCCATAGCAACCCTGTACAGGGTTTCCGAGGGTGTAAATCTTTACGGGAGTAGAAAGCCTCATCTTTCTCCCACGGAGTGGCTGGTAGTTTGGTAGTGTAGTGGTTATGAATTGGGCTGTGAACCTTAAGTGCTATGTAGTTGTTCTTAAGTGTTGTTGAACGGGTTCTGACCCATAGCAGCTCTGTATAAGGTATCTGAGGAGCAGCTGGGAAGCTGGAACCACCAACCTTATGGTTCAAACTGACTTTGCAGTTCAGTGTATTAACCCACAGCACCACACCAGCACTCCAGGGACTAAGTACTATGATAGGTACTGAATCTAATTCAGCCATGTAATTCTAGTCATCACTTCTCTGGGCCTGTCTATAGAATTTCTAGTCATCAAGTCCCAGAATTTGTTTTACTGCAGTCTGCAAAGAAACATACCAATAAACAACATTCTTATCAATGGAGAAAAGATTGAAGTTGTCAAGGACTTTATTCTTCTTGGATCAACTATCAACACTCACAGAAGCAGCAGTCAAGAAATCAAACGACCTATTGCATTAGGCAAATCAGCTGCACAAGACCTTTTTAAAGTGTTGAAGAGCAAAGATGTCAG